TCTACATTTTCTTAAATGTTATTTTTATGCTTTCATATCACTATAGACAGGAACCAAAATGGCTCCAAACCTGCTTTACATGGCAACCAAACTGTTCTAAACTAAACACTACATATATATATCTATAAACACTGATTATTCACTGTCCTTTCACTCTAATCTGCCCAAGGCCTGGATTAAAAAGACCCTGGGTCACCCTCGCTGTCAGGGGGTCCAGGACAGGGGCTGGACACAGGGGAAGCTTCTGGCAGCTGCTCACAGAACCCACCCCTGGAGCCCCCCTGCTACCAAAACATGGCCATCCAGACCCAATCCACTGCCCAGGATGGATCACCTGGACCGTGGGTCACCAGGTCTGTGCCCAGCATGGATCACCTGGACCGTGGGTCATCAGGTCTGTGCCCAATATGGGTCCCTGTGGATCATCCAGTGGGAGTCCTCCAATGGCTGATGGAGTTGGAGCAGCGGCCACAGCTCTTCCCGCAGTTGAGGCACTCGAGGGCTTCCCTTACTGGTGGGTCCGTTGGTGTCTGGTCAAGGTAGACCTGTCAGTGAAGTTCTTTCCACACTCCCCACACTTGTAGGGCCTCTCCCCGGTGTGGATGCGACGGTGGGTGATGAGGTGGGAGTTCCGGTTGAAGCCCTTCCCGCAGTCAGTGCAGCGGAAGGGCCTCTCATCCATGTGCGTCTGCTCATGCCTGAGGAGATCTGAGCTGGTCAGAAACCTCTTCCCACATTCCAAGCACTTGTAGGGCAGTTCCCCAGTGTGGATGAGTCGGTGGATGTGGAGGCTGGAGCTGTAACTGAAGCTCTTCCCACATTCCCCACATGTGAAGGGCCGTTCCCCAGTGTGCACACCATGGTGTTGGAGGAGGGTGGAACTCTGGCTGAAGCTCTTCCCACATTCCCTACAGGTGTAGGGCCATTCCCCGGTGTGGATATGCTGGTGTTGGATCAGGTGGGAGCTGTCTCTGAAGCTCTTCCCACATTCCCTACACGGGTAGGGCCGTTCTCCAGTGTGGATGCGCTGGTGGGTGCGAAGGTTGGACCTCTGGTTGAAGCTCTTCCCACATTCACCACACATGTAGGGCCATTCCCCAGTGTGGATGCGCTGGTGGGCGCGGAGGTTGGAGCTCTGCCTGAAGCTCTTCCCACATTCCCCACACGGGTAGGGACGTTCCCCAGTGTGGATGTGCTGGTGGGTGAGAAGGTTGAAGCTCTTCCTGAAGCTCTTCCCACATTCCAAGCATCTGAAGGGCTTCTCCCTGCTGGGAGGCTGCTCAGGGATCACCAGGTCAGAGCTCCGCCTCAAGCTCCGGCCGCCTTCCCGGCACAGGCTGGGTCTTTCCTCCTCAGAGCACCCTGGGCTGGCTTTGGAGCCCCTCCTGTGGGGGGATCTCTGGCCCTTTTCCTCCCTGCTGCCTTCCTGCACCGTGGAGCCCTTCAAAATGGCCTCTCCCACCAGGGTCTCACGGGGGGATTTGTCCTCCGGGCTCTCCGTCCTCAGCTCGGGGCCTGGGGCAGGAAGCAAGAAGGACAGGGAGGGGATTTGCCTCCGGCCCACAGGGAAGGCCAAGGACATCCCCCCAACTCCGGCCCCGGCAGGACGGCGGCGGCAGCGGGGTTGTCCTGCAGCCGGGGCCATGCTGGGCTGCCAGAGCCAGCACAACACCCGCCCAAAGGGACACTGACTTTCTCCTCACCTGCCTGGGGGGCCCAAGGCATCTTCCTCTTCCTCGCAGACGCCTCCTCCATCCGCCCAAGCTCTGGGAAGGACAAATCCTGATGGGGGAGAAATAAGGGCTGAGCACGTTGGCTTGGAGGTTCCTCCTGCCCAAGTCCATCTCTAGAACTCACCAGGCATCCTGTGGCCATAGAAACCTCCAAAACATCAAGATTCAGCCCAGAGAAACCCAAACCCACGAGATTCAGGCAAAAAAAACCTCAAAAAAAGAGAGATGAACCCCCCA